TCAGGGAACAAATCGCCAGGGCTTTCCCGGGCCTCTCAGGTGCTGGGTGCCCGCTTAGCATGGGGCCTGGCGTCTGCCTGGTGTGGCCCTGGCTGGCCGCAGCTGAGGTTGCTGTGGGTTGTGAGCCGTGGTGAGGCCGGCGCTTTGCGCTGGGTGGCTGCTGTATACAGGGAAGGTTGTGCTCTCTCTGAGGTGCTGCCTGCTGGTCACCGGCAATGGGGATTCTGACCTTGGTCCTCAGCTGGCCCACTGCCAACTGTGACAGCGCAGCGGGCAGCCAGGGTGTGGGGAGGGAGGAGGGAGCGCCATGTGACTGATGGCACCCACAGCATTGCGGCTGCACGCATGGCGGGCAGAGACGGGAGGGCCCTCTGCACACTTGCTGTTGCAGGGCCGCCGGTGTAGGGAGTGAGCTGGAAGCCGAGGGCTGTGCTGCGGTGGTCTCTCGGAGCCAGGCTGGCCGGCCGCTGCCACTGCTTGCCTTGCTGCCTTTATTTATCATTTGAGATGGAACTTTACTTACGCAGAGTGCTCGGCCCCTCACTGTTCAGTTCGGTGGTGGGTGGCATCTTCTGGGCCATTGCTGAATGTGTGTTGGGAGGCAGATCAGAGGTGGCCTTCTGCACCGGCTTCCTGGGTGGGGGTGGAGCCGTCAGGCCCCCTGTGGCCTGGACCTCCGTGTCTCTGGGGAGTGAGGGGCTTGGCAGACGTGGAGTCGCTGAGACCAGAGTGAGTCCCGGCAGCTCTCAGGCTGTCCCAGCTTCAGGTCCGCGTTTCGCTGATCTTTGAGCGCCTGAAAACCCCCTCGGAGGCGGGAGGCGCTGCAGGAGGAGCAGGCATGGTCGGGGCCGCCCTCCCTCCAGCCCGAGGCTGTCCTTGCAAGCACGGCCGATTGTGTTGGAAGTTTTCACCCTCGTAGTAGCTTCTGTGTGTCCCTTCAATCATCCGTTGTTTACTGCTTAGCGCGGACTGCCTTTCCCTTCGTGCCCAGCATGGGTGTCAACACCTCCGTCCTTGTGGGAAGCCAGACGGGCACAAGGCCTGGCACCGCCACTTAGGAGCTGTGTGCCGTGGTGGCACACTCGCTGCTCCAGCCTGAGCCCTTCCCCTGCCACGCAGCAGCGAGGGCGCCACCTGGGCTGAAGCGAGAGGTTCACCCCGCGCTGGCACGGGATCATGCGGTGCTGTCCTCACTGTCACTGTTCGAGCCCGGCCAGGGAGGTCGTTGGTGGGGAGGGGATGGCCTTGTACGGCCGCGCTGCTGCCCGTTGCTGCGGCGAGGAGAGTGTCTGGAGGCACAGGGCCCGGTAGGCGTGCGCACCGGCCCTTCCTCCCCAGGCCAGCGACAGCGCCGGCTTGCCGCACGCTTGCGGCCTTTCCTTCTCGGTGGGCTCCTGTTGCGTTCTCCGCAGTAGGAGGTGTTTGCTGGGCGGACATCTGCCGGGACCCCGCACCTCCTGTTGGCGCGCCGGCTTTGACCCCAGCTGTTCTGCTCCTACTGATGAGCACCCAGGGGAGCAGCAGTGCCGGCTCAAGTGTTTGGGTCCCGGCCACCTGTGTGGGAGGTCCAGGTGGAGTCCGGAGGCCTGGTCAGCCTGCTCAGACCTGGCTGTTGCACACATTTGGGATGTGACCAGCAGATGGAAGATTTCTCTCTTTCTGCCTCTCAGATAAATTGAAAATAAATTTAATTTTTTTTAAAGAAGTAGTTGTCAGACTGGAGACTGATGGTCGCTGAGAGCGAGCGGCGTGTGCAGGTCAGCTGTGTGGGAGCCCCAGGGTAGGGCCGTGATCCCCCGCCCCCCGCAGTGGTGTGGAAGCCTGTATGGCCAGGCCTGACCACGTAGGAACTGGGCGGCCTGGCATCGGGACGTAAATCAAGCTCTCCAGATGAGGCGCCTGGTGCCTGAGACGGCAGCGCAGGCCGGGGCAGGCACTGAGTTACGATGGTGCAGCGGCCGGAATTCAGGGCTCCTGGCTCCCATCCGGGGCACGTTTCCTCTCCCCGTGCTCATTCTTTGACCATATTTGCTGCTCCTCGCGGTGGGGTCAGAAATAGCCAGCCTGGCCTTGGTGCGCCCTCTCTCCTGGGAGCCCGCTCCCCCGTGGTCCAGCGAGCGCCGGCTGCTCAGCTTCTTAACCCAGGGGCTCTGGAGGAAGAGCAGAGTGGGGCTGGGATCCAGCGCAGCCGCAGCCTGCCCCCCCTTGCCTAACGGCGGGGAACTGCATCCGCCCGGTGCCCTCCAGGACTGGCCCTGCCCTGCTCTGCGCCCTCACTCCTCACCAGCCCCAGGCTGGTTCCAGCGTGGTTTACTCGAGTCTGGACGCTTGTGAGAGCATTGCCAGCCCAGTGCGCCCCTCACACGGTCCCGACCCTGTAGGGAGCTGCCTTGTGAAAAAAATTTTTTTTTTTTTTTTTTTTTTGACAGCCAGAGATAGAGAGAGAGACAGAGACAAAGGTCTTCCTTCCGTTGGTTCACCCACCTAAATGGCCGCTACGGCCAGTGCACTGCACTGATCCGAAGCCAGGAGCCAGGTGCTTCCTCCTGGTCTCCCATGCGGGTGCAGGGCCCGAGGAACTGGGCCATCCTCCACTGCCTTCCCGGGCCACAGCAGAGAGCTGGCCTGGAAGAGGGGCAACCGGGACAGAATCCGGTGCCCCAACTGGTCCTAGAACCCAGGGCGCCGGCCTGCCTTGTGAATTCTCCCAACAGCCCGGGTTAGGTCTTGCCTTTCTTTCCCTGACAGTTGGAGAAACCAAGGCTCTGAGAGGTTAGGTGACTTCTCTGAGGTCACACAGCCAGGAAGCTCAGATGTGCAGGGCCTGTGGTCTTAACCTCTGTGCTCTCCTGTTTGCTGCGCCACGAAGACAGCTTAGCCCCTGCCCTCACTGCCCTGCCTGTGACCTGCACAGTAGCCTGGGCGTCGGGAGCCTGCTCCCCCTGGCTTGCGTCTTGGAAGGGAGTGTCTGAGTGGTGACGCCGTCGTGTCTGGGGAGTTCGGGAAGCCAGCCCGAACTCTGCCTGCCACGGCTGCATCTCTCAGAGCCCACCCCGGGGGTCCCCAGCTCCGTCTGTTAGCCCTTAGCCCATCCTGGATGGGCAGCGCCATGCTCTGGCTTCTTCCTGGTGCCCTGGTGTGGGACGAGCAGGCTCCCCCAGGGGCTGGTCCATGGTGGTGCGTGGTGCCTCCTGCCCGTGCTCCCCCCATGGGCTCCTTACCCAGCTCAGACCCGCGCGCCTTCACCCTCCCACCGCCCACGTGTCCTCGGCAGGCAAGGCGGGGGTCCACTTGCCAGCCTCCACCTGAGGCGTCCTTTCTGGTCTCCTTGTGCCATTGCCTGTGCCCTCCTCCCCAGCTGGACACTGAGGAGGGTCAGCACCTTCCCTCCCAGGCCACACCTCCACTGCCTCTCGTTTCTCCCACAGAGGGGCCTAAACGTACACCTGACCGTGGCAGTGATTGGGCTTCTGCTTAAAGCCCCCGGGAGGCTCCTGGGCCAGGAGCCTGCACAGAGGGCGGGTGCTCACCAGCGTGGGGCTCTGCTCCTGGCCATGCCCCGTCTGCTGGCCTCTCCGCTGCCCAGCTGCTCTCCGCCTGTCTTCCTGGACTTGTGGAGCCGTCTCACCTCTGAGTCTCGGAGTTTGCTGTTTCCCGAACATTCTCTCACTTGGCTCTGGCTCGGGGCTCTGGGAAATCCTCACTCTCAGCCCTGGCCTCCTGGCCAGGGTCGGGATCCCTCCCTGGCAGCCACGCTCACCCCTCCTCTGTCCTGACGCGGCGCCGTGGAGCTTCCGTTTGTCAGGGCACAGTTCTCACCAGGGCTGTTGTCCTCAGTCACTCACAAGGAAGAGCAGAGGGCAGTAGGAGGCGGCAGTGGTCAAGGGACCGGGAGCAGGAGCGAGCCCACGTGCGGCGAGGGGCTCGGGCACACACGGGTTCTCCGTCCACGGGGACCCTGTTCATGTGCACAGTGCAGCCTCTCCTGGTCCTGCAGCTCCTCTGTGAGCGTGGGGCTGGCCTCCTGCACCCCTCTCCCCACGGATGCCAGGAGCCGGGGTTGCCCCAGGCCCTGCCTCACTCGTACAGGTGAAGACGAGAGAGACTTAGTAAGTTACAGGAGACTGCGGAGGGGCTGAGTCCCTGCACCGCACTCCCGTCCCGAGGGGGCTCCCAGGCACACGCGGTGTCCTCCCCTCGTCCATGCATTTGGTTCCTGGCCGGGGGAGGGGTCTTGCAGCTGCTCCTCCTTGATGCTCACCTTGTAGGTGATTCAGGGTTCCAGGAATTTCCCAGCTTGATTGCCCCCACCCATGAGCCAGAGGAGAGAGGAAGAAGGCGAAAGCCTTCGCCACCACAGCCCGTTCTTACACTGCATCAGTAATTGAGTGCTCTTAAGCAAAATTAATTTGCCTCCTGCGGGAAGGTTTATGATGAATGAGAGGACTGCCGATGGCGAGGGCTCCCGCTGCCCTCTGTGGTCATCAGTGTTTCACAGCTGCAGGCAGTGTCGGGAGTGGTCCTGCTTGGCTGCCTTGCACTTCGGGAAGGGAGGTCAGAGCTAGGGAGGTGGTGTGCAAAGGGTTTCTTGTAAGGCGCTTGAAGGAAAGTGGACTTCGCAGAATGGACCTGGGGGCTGACAGCGTCTGCATCCCAGCCAGGGGGCAGCTCCCGGACTGTCACAGCGCAGGGTGGGGCTCAAGGGCTCAGCTGGCGCCCGGGGAAGAAAAGTCCTGATTCCTCTGGGGTCAACGTAATTGCAACGTGGCAGGCTAAAGCTGCTGGCCCCAGCATGGGGAGTACCTCGGAACCCTTTGCACCAGCTCAGTGCACCGCTGGGCCCGCTGCGCTGGCCCTCCACTCTCCCTCAGGCTGGGGAGAGCCCCCAGCAGCTTCCTGTCCCCTGTCCCCGTGGCTGCGCCTCAGGGCAGCACTGAGTGGGAGTGGCCTTTAGAGTGAGGAAGGATGTTAACCTCTCGCTTTCTCTCTCTTCTCCCCAGCTGCTATCAACCTAGCAAAGCTGAAGCTTTTCAGGCACTACTACGTCTTGGTGAGCGAAACCAGTCCTGAATCTGGACGCGCGCCACTCAAGCAGTGGGGCCGCGGGTGTCCGAGGGTGGGGGAGGCGCGGGAGCCTGGCCTGGAGCTCTGTGGTTTCTGCTTGTAGACTCAAGCGGGATCGCAGAGTGGGGAGATGTCCGAGTCACTTTATGTAAAATGTTGGCTTTAAATACTTAGGAAATACCACAGGCTTGAGGTTAAATACAAATGCAGCGATTATGGAAACCCGGCACAGGCCCCCTGTGAGCTGCTCTCCCACCCCTGCCCAGGGCACGCAGGCGCTGCAGCTGCCCACTGCGGAGGGGAGTGGGACTGCCCGCCACGCGGCCTGCTTGCTGCACCCCAGCACTCACATTTACCAGCGTGTCTGCATCTGTCTGGGTTCTCTGCAGGAAACTAGGTTCCTGCTGATGGTCCTACTTCAGAACAGGCAATTGAGACAGTCTGTATAAAGCCTGAACCCAGGACTCTGGGGGCCTGAGCAGGCTCTAAGATAGCACCGCGCATGGGACTTGCTTGAGACTCTCAGGGTTGTAGATTCTTGGCATATGGAAGGTGTGGGTCTTGAGTTTGCTTCCTGGGTCCTGAGAGAACAGTCCCAGGTCTCCCACCTGCGGTTTCCGTGTTGACTGTCACTTGAGATGGTTCCTTTGCTTGGGCAAACCCGAGAGACTGCGGTGGGACAGAGCAAGGCAGAGGCCCTGCTGGGGTTGGACGTACTGCCTTTCCCGTGGATTGTGTCACCCACTGGAGCAGGCACAGTTGTCGGCACACACCTCTCGCTGCATGTGGAGAGGGTGGTGAGCAGTCCCCAGCGGACATGGCCTGACCTGCGAGCCCGGCTGCCCTGGGCTGGAGCCCACGATCAGGCCGTGCTCGGGGAGCCGGCCCGGCAGGCCCGTCACGAGGAGGACGGGCACAGACGTCCTTGCTTGTCAGAGTAGCGCCGGGCCTCTTCTGAGCGTCCGTCTCCCGTGTTCCAGCATCCACGTGGAGAGACCAGAAGTCGTTGTTTGCCTGCGTGGCTTTGTTTTGCTGTTGCTGCAGTCTGCTGCTGGGAAGTGTTACTGAGGTCCCGGGGTTGTTTGCGGACAGCTGGGGAGGAGTTCAGGGTGGCCCTGCCTTGTCCTGTCCTCTGCCCAGCGTGGCCGAGCAGGGTCGTGGTCGCCTGGAGCGAGGGACGAGACCCCTGCAGTGTGGGCAGCAGACGAGCGGCTCTCCCCGCGGCATTCCTTAGTTAGGACTGTGAGTGGATTAACTTGTGAAAGCAAGTTGTGGGAAGAAAGTGATGCCTTAATTTCTCTGATTTTTTTTTCCTCATTTCTTTCCTGCTCATTTAGATCGTGTGTTACATATACTTCACCAGGATCATCGCGTTTCTCCTTAAACTTGCTGTTCCCTTCCAGTGGAAGTGGCTCTACCAGGTAGGCCGCTGCCAGGCCCAGAGCCAGGGCATCAGGGCTTGGGGGTAACTTCAGGTGCTTACGGACGTCTCTGGGGGTGGCCTGGTCTGTCCAGGACAGCTGCTGGACCACTTGAGAAATCTGGAAGAAACTGCATTATTGATTTAGTTTTCACTTGAAAGTCTTTGAAGAGAAGAGCCTCAGGCAGTCAGGTTGGCCCTGTGTGCCCGAGGTGCTCTCCTGCAGCCACGGGCCAGAGGCGTTCAGGACGCACCTTCCCTCGCTCGCCCCTTAGCATTGTTTCAGTAATGAGATATTTCAGGAGGTGCAGAGCTCGTTAGACGCCACGGTCTGTGCCACATGCTTTGGAGACTTCCTTGAGCTCACATGTGGCTGTGCGTGCCATGGGTGAGAGGGGCTCTTCCAAGGGTCCCGGCTGTGGGCGCCGTGGGTGAGGGGCTCTTCTGAGGGTCCCCGCTGTGGGCACCGTGGGTGAGGGGCTCCTCCAAGGGTCCCGGCTGTGGGCACCGTGGGTGAGGGGCTCCTCCGAGGGTCCCGGCTGTGGGCGCCGTGGGCGAGGGGCTCTTCCAAGGGTCCCGGCTGTGGGCGCCGTGGGTGAGAGGGGCTCCTCCAAGGGTCCCGGCTGTGGGCGCCGTGGGTGAGGGGCTCCTCCAAGGGTCCCGGCTGTGGACACTGTGGGTGAGAGGGGCTCCTCCAAGGGTCCCGGCTGTGGGCACCGTAGGTGTGAGGGGCTCCTCCAAGGGTCCCGGCTGTGGGCGCCGTGGGTGTGAGGGGCTCCTCCGAGCACCAGCTCGCCACTGGTGTCCCAGGCAAGGGTGCTTTGGTGGGGGCCGCAGTAAACCTGCAGACCACCTGCAGCTGTGGCGGGCCGTGGAGGGGCTGTGTCAGTTTGGTTAGTTCCACTGCTTTCTGAAGAAGAGTGTTGCTAACCCCTTTATGTGTGGTGGGTTTTAAAATCTGCAGCTCCTGGATGAAATGGCCACGCTGGTGTTCTTTGTACTTACGGGGTACAAATTCCGCCCGGCTTCAGACAACCCCTACCTGCAGCTGTCTCAGGAGGAAGACGACCTGGAGATGGAGTCTGTGTAAGAAGCCTTCTTTCCCTCCCTCTCCTCGGCCCCGTCCCTTTTCTAACTGAAAGCGACGCGGTGAGCGGTGGACCAGTTGCTCCAGAGGTGGCTGCTCTATTTGTAACAGATGACGCGGGTGCGGGTGCGGGCGCTCCAGCCTCAGGCTCTCGCGATTGGTTTGACTCCCGGTCTGGTCTGCTGGCCGCTGCTGGGTCTAGCCAGGAAGATGGGACCTGCCGTCCTGCTGACCATCATCGAGCCCTGCTTCCAGCAGCCCCACCTGACCCCGGGCCGGGGCGTGGTCCTCAGAGCTGCCTGTGGGCCTGCCGGCGACCCCTGACCCCTGACCCCTGCGTCATCCGGGTGGGCTTGGGCCGGGGCGTGGTCCTCAGAGCTGCCTGTGGGCCTGCCGGCGACCCCTGACCCCTGACCCCTGCGTCATCCGGGTGGGCTTTTCTGAGTCACTGCGCTGGGAAAGGGCCCTCCTTTTCCAGAAAAGAATGGCGACAGAGCGCCTCTGCGCTGTCGGCCTCAGGCTGCTCGCCCTCCCCTCTGCTGCCCCCAGGGCCTCAGCCTTGACCTTGCAGTTCGGCTGCAGCCTCGCTGGGTCTTGGGGCTGGCAGGCAGGTTAGGCAGCCGGGGACAGCTCTTTGTGCTCAGCCCTGTCACTGGGACGGTGAGCCCAAGGCAGGTCCTGCTGATGGCCTCTGTGGGCGGCGGAGGGGAGGCGGCAGCGTCTGAGCATGTCCCGTTGGGTGAAAAGCCACAGACGCAGGTCAGGACTAACCCAGGGCGGGGTCTGCTCCTCCGTTCCACCAGGGACCTTGCGCACGGTCCGTGGATGGTACCCGGAGTTTCCCAGTTGGCCGGCCATCCGGAAGGAAATGTAGACACGCGCCCCAGCCTCCTGTCAGGGCCACGGTGGCCGTGCCAGCGTGAGCCCACCCCCTCTGCCCTTTGCACGTGGTGCTGTAACCCTGGACACTTGCCTTGCTCTGGGGCGGTTTCTAGAAGGCTCAGGCTTCTGTTCCTTTCTGATCTGCTGCAATTGGAGCAGCGTGGGGCTGCCGTGCTGCCCTTGGGAGGTCGAGTTGGGAGCCGCACGGTCTCCCTCAGGCCTGAGATGTGAGAGGAGCCTGCCGGCCAGAGTCAGGGAGCCACGCCCTTGGTCTGAGGACCGCTGCCGCTCTCACCACCGAGAGCCACGTTTCCCAGAGGCCACGGCTCGGCCATGCCTCGATTCTGGGAACAGCTGCACCTCTGGGCGGCTCGGGGGTTTGGTTGCAACAGGAAGGAAGGGGGGGAAGCCATCTTCCCCCTAAAGCTCTGCACTCCGGAGGCGTCTCAGGGGTCCCGTGTTGCCGTTGTTGGGTGGCGGCTGGGTCCTGGGGCCGACAGGTGTGATCGCTGTTACTGACCAGGGATTCCTGGTGGTGCCAAGTGTGGGACGATGGCCCCGGGGCCTTTGCCACTTGGTTCCCTCTGCTGCTCGTGGAGCCACTTTGTTCCTTCGTGGATCCAGAGCGCCTGGAAGGCTGCCGGCTGCCCTTCCGTGAGGCCAGAGGTCCTCCCAGGGCCTCGCGTTCAGAGGGAGAGGCCTCACGCCACCGGGCAGTGCCACGGGCAGAGCCACAGGCCTGCTGTGAACACTGTGCCTGCCCCAGACAGAAGGCCCTGCCCTGGGAGCCCACAGCCTGGTGCTGCGGCTGCATCTGACCGACACTGGGACCTGGGCTGGCGGAAAGCAGCCTGGCTCTTCCTCAACGGGCCCTGGTTCCATCCCACGACTCTGAAATGACCCATGGTGGCCGGCTGCTAGACCCGCGCAGATGGCTTGCCCGGCATGATGCGCATTAACACCCTGCAGGGGCTGACGGCTTACACCCCGCCTGCAGCGCCCTGCACCCACATGGGAGACCCAGAAGAAGCCCCTGGCTCCTGGCTTTGGATCGGCCAGCTTGAGCCATTGTGGCCATGTGGGGAATGAACCAGTGGATGGAAGTCCTCTCCTTCTCTAACTGCTTCTCAAATAAATCAGTAATTAAAGAATAAATTAAAGTCCTGGGGGCAGGCAGGAGGTGAATGGCGGTCGGTGAGGTCGGCTGTCGTGGGTGCTCTGGAGACCGGTTTCCTGCGACCGTTCTGGAAAGCGGGATGTGTTTATGCTTAGCACAGAGAGGTCGAGTGAGCTGGCCAGGGCCCCCAGCCTGCAGGGCGTCTGAGACGAGGCGGTTCCCTGACTGCTGTGTTTCCCTCCTCAGAGTGACGGCGTCTGGGGTGACGGAGAACGTGAAGAAGGTCAAGAAGGCAACCAACGGCTCCGTGGAGCCCCCGGGCGGCTGGGCGGGCACGGCGTGACCTCCCACCGGGGCCGGCGCCCGCCGGGGACGGCGCCCGGCAGACTGTTCACACACTGACGGTCCTGCTGGCCAGCAGGAGCTTCCCGACAGCCCCAGCGCGGGCTGCGCCGCCTCCGGCCTCTCGCTTTCAGCTGGGTCTGCGGCTGGTGGCAGGCAGCTAGGACTCCTCAGGTGGGAGCGTTCGGTGGGGGGAGGGACAGAGGAGGATAAAAGGAAGAGAGTCTGTTTTTAGATTTCTTTTTTTTTTTCTTTTTAACTGGGAGCACTGAGGGGCGCGGCTGTGCCCCGTGTGTGTTGCACCCAGGGCGCGGTGGTGGCTGGGCAGGAGGCACGGGCGGGCTGTCTCCACGGCACAGCGCACGGAGGGGCCGACAGGTACCGTGGAAAAGCAGAGTCGGCTCAGTGAGTGCAGCCCTGCCCGCGGCTCCTGGCCCTGCGACCCCAGACCCTTGTTCCGGATTCTGACAGCTCCGGAGGCCGGGCGTCTGACGGCACTGTGGGGTCTGTGTTGCCAGGTGCACGGAAGGATATGGAAGCTCCCAGAGCCTGGGTCCTGGCTGCCACGCGGCACCCGCCCCGCCCCCTCCCTCTCAGAGCTGTCTGTTCTTTAAGAAGGGAAGGACTTTCCTTACGGGTCAACGAGGGGCCAGGGAGGTGGTGTTTCTGCCGGGGCTTAAGTACAGTGAGCGTTCCCCAGAGAGGTGCTGCCGGGCTGGGGCCCGTGCTGCAGGGAAGGCGCAGGGGGAGGTGAGTGCGTGCGGGCGTCTGAGTGGTGAGGGAACTGCAGCTCTCACCACACTTGGGGTGGGGTGGGCAGTATTTTGAGTCGCAGATGGGACACACTCAGAGGCCCTGTGACCAGAACATGGTGCCGGCAGGAGCGCTGGTGCTCAGGGCTGGGGGCTTCCAGCAAGTCCAGGGCACCCCTGCCGGGCTCACCGGGGAGCTGCGCCTCCGGGTGACAGCAGCGTCCTGGGGTTGCTTTCTCATCTCCAGTTGGGGTCTGTGAGAAGCCATGGGGGCTGAGGGTGACAGTGCCCCAGGTCATTTCTCAGCCACCTCTGTGCTGGGGTCACTCCCTAAGTGTCCCGAGGAAGTGGGGTCACTGTGCACACTTCGCTCCCCCTCCAAGCTCTGCCCCGCCCACCCCTGCTGACTCCCAAAGAACAGGCACCTCCCTGGGCCTCTGGGGGTGTGGATTGTCCCGTCTTGGGGAGAAGGCAGGTGTACCCCAAGTGTTCGCTTTCATGTTGTACAGTCTCGGAGCTGTGTGACAGGTGGGGCCGCACTCCATTCCTGTGCATCAGCGACACCAGTGCTGCAAGAGTGGGGTCTCAGGTTGTGACCCCCCAGGCCCTCCTGGGCTCCCAGGTCCTTGGCAAGAGCAAGAGGTGTGATGACCCCTCCCTGCCAGGAGGGGTCCCCATTTCCCAGACTGGGGTGCAGGCAGGGGAGTGAGTGAGAGAAGAGCACGGAGCCCAGCCTGAGCGCCGGGCGCACCTCCCATACTGGCGCCCTGCTCGCTCCCAGTGGCCGGTGGCTGCAGGTGGCAGCCCGCAGGGCTCAGCACAGGGCTGCACGGGTGAGAGAGGGCGCACTGGCCACAGCGTCCGGCACGGAGCCTGGCTGCCCATCCTGTGCCGGGGCTAGAGGAAGGGTCCAAGCCAGCGTGGTGATACCGGAACTCAGAACCTCAGCCCAAGGTGGCAAAGCCGGCCGCAGCTCCAGGCTTCCAAGCAGCGTTGTCAGCTTCCCGCCCCGTCTGAATGTGGCGCTCGTCCGTGGCCTAAGCTGTGACCCAGCCTTCGGCTCTGCTGGGGCCGCTGCCGGTCGCTCCCTCAGCTCACAAGCGGCCTCCCTGCTGCCTGATGCCCAGAGTCCTCTGGGGCTTGGCGTCACCCCGTGTTTGGATGCTGGAGCCCTTGCGGTGTTTCGGGGCAGGAGAGCTGGGCTGCACGTGGCAGAACCGCTGTGCTTTGTGCTCCCTGCCTGCCTGCCTGCCTGCCTGCCCAGAGCGTCCGCGCTCCGTGGAGGGAGCTGCCCCAGAGCGTCCGCGCTCCGTGGAGGGAGCTGCCCCAGAGCGTCCGCGCTCCGTGGAGAGCTGCCCCAGAGTGTCCGCGCTCCGTGGAGAGCTGCGTGGACTGCAGGTGCCACCAGCCGCGAGGTTAACAAGTTGCATGCATTTTGCTAGAAAACCGTTTTCTGGACAATAGGAGCCATCACTGATCCCCTGATCCCGGCTCCTGACGGCGGCAAGGACTGGGGCTGTCTGTCTCGCGGTCCCTCCGTGCTTCCAAGGTTAGCAGTGATGCGCACAGGGTGCCGGCTGGAACTGGTGGGCTGGCGCCTCTGGCTCCTGAGGCGGGGCGGGCTGGGGCCTTGCTCCCCTGTGAGAGGCCCTGGTCTCAGTCCAGGTTCCTTTAAGAGACCACGTCACATACAGCCAGGCTGCCCCCCGGACGTGCCACTTGGGGTGGAGTCTCCACTGTCCCTGGCCCCACACCTCCCCTCCCCTCCCTCCCGCCAGGCTTGCTGTGGGGCCACAGCCATGTGGGGAGGCTCACAGGGGGGTCACCTTACTCAGAGCGTGGCTTGTTGGGTCTTCAGGCAAGTCCGCTGCCAGAGGGGAGTGCAGGAGCCCACCGGCCTCACGCCCCGCCCCGGCCTTTGTCCAGGAGGCCCCTAGGGCGAGGCCTGAGGTTGCTGGCCCAGCCCCCGCCCTCCCAGCGCGCTGTGTACTGGAGCCCGGGCTGCCGCTCATTTTTCCTTGCAGGACTCAGTGCGTTGATGTCTGCTACACCCGTGCCTCCTGGTTGATCAAGAAGGCATCGATGTGGGAACACCCAGTTGTCGCGGAAGGGCCGCTCACGCACTTCCCTGGGTGTTGCGGGCAGGCGGTCTGTGAGACGCGCACCTTGGGCCACGCCGGTGCTGCTCGACCTGCACGCGGGCCCGCTCTCCTGGGGAAGCCGCTGTGCCTGTCCACGGGGGCTGTGCTGGAAGAACGCTGCCTTTCCGCTGGGGCATGGACGCGTACCCCAAAACACTGAGGGGCGCGGTGGGCCGTGGTCAGCCGGATCAGGGGATTCTTGGCGGGCGGTTTGCAGCTGGCCATCGGAAGGGGGAGTTAGAATGAAGTCAGTGGAGGTCAGAGTGGAGCGGAAGTACCCGGTGGCCCCTGTGGCCGTCAGCTCTCAGCGATGCGATGTGGCGCAGCCAGAGCTGGCAGTGGGGCCAGAGGTCAGCCTCCGTAGTGCGGAAGGTGCTGTGAGGTTGCAAGACCGGGGAGCGCTGGCCTCCGCAGCCTCTGGGCGCCACCCGATGCGTCTGCCTGTGCACGTGACCCCAGGGGCACGCAGACGCCTGGAATCCAGAAGTTGGGTTTGAGCGGGGGCTTGCAGGACTACAAGTGGCATTTGCTTTTCAGGTTAAACTGGGGTGCAGGGGGCTTCGGTAACCTTCTAACAGTAACGATCGCGGCAGAGTATTTATGTAAACGTGACGGCGGGGTCGGGTCAGGTACTGCTCATGTGTACAATAAAGGCTCTGTGACGGAAGCGTGTGTGTGCAGCGCCCTCCGCACCTCCCTCTCCTCTGTTTCTTTGTGGGTCTCGTTCATTAAATTAGTTAACTGCCTCCCACTTCTCTCCCTGACAATGGCGACACCCACTAGGGAGCTCCAGGTGTCTTAGCAGATCCGTGGCAGAGGCTATTAGAAGCCGACGGCTTCGCGTCAGCTGCGAGTCACAGGTGTCCACGCTGGGGCTCGCGTGGGCTTTCCCAGTCAGGCGGCCCGGGCGCTGCTGCTGCCCCTGGCAGAGGCGTGGGGGCTGGGACGGGCTCACACGCTGCTCCTGGCGGGATTACCAGATGGCTGTGCCCCCTCGAGGCCATTCAGCCCCTCGTTTTCCCTGGAGGGGTTAGCCTGTTTTACATACAGTGGGGCTGAGTGCCCCGGGGCCTCCACTGCAGGGGTGGGAAGTTCCCACCGCCCTGCAGTCCCCTCCTGCCCATTCCCTCAGAACCGCCCCAAGCACAGCTGGGACTTCCCCCTGGACTCCACTGAGCTGAGCGGCCCCTGGCTTCCATGGGTCTCCCGCCGGAACTCTGCCTTCAGAACTGCGGGGCCCAGAAGGCCCTGCCGCGGCCCCCACCCGCTAAGCAGCGTCAAGCTGCACTGACAGCCCAGGCCGGCTCCTCCCACCTGTGCGGGGCAGGGGTTAAGTCCAGGCCTTGGCCCAGCCCCGCGCAGTGGACGCCGGGAAGTACCCCGTGGTTGTCTGTGATGTCAGCAGCAGCCTCCGGCCTCCGCGAGGGTCAGGGTGAGCCCGCCTCTGACCGTGTGTGCTGTGACACCCCTGGGGCCTCAGGACCTGAGTCGGGGCAGGAAGGTGCAGCTGGGGGGTAGGCGGCCGAGCCGATGGCGCTCCGCCTGTGCCGGCCCCAGTCCCCTGGAGGCCTAGTGCGAGACCTCAGAGGGCTCCTGTGGGGCCCACGTCTGCATCGCCGCCGCTGCCCGTGATGCTGCCGGGGCCGCCCCAGACCTCGCTGTCCCTACCTGAGTGCTGGGGCAGGCGCCCACCTTGCCCAGAGCTGCAGGGCCCGAACAGGACCGCCGCTGTCCTGGGCTCTGCTTCCTTCCTCACGGCAGCCAGCTGAGCTCCCCTGGTGGGAAATGCAGCTGTGGGCTCTGCCGAGGGCTCGATGCAGGAAAGCCCAGGCCTGGAGCAGGCGCGTGGCACAGACTGGAGGTGGCCTTCATGGGGCCGTTTGGGCGAGCGGGTTAAGCTGCCTCTTGATGCCAGCATCCTGTATTGGAGTCCCAGCTGCTCCGCTTTTGATCCAGCTCCCTGCTAATGTGCCTTGGAAGCAGCAGATGCTGGCCAAGTACTTGGGTTCCTGCACCCATGTGAAAGACCAGGCCAGGGGCTGGTGCTGTGGCGCAGTGGGTTAAAGCCCTAGCCTGCAACGCCAGCATCCCGTGTGGCACCGGTCTGAGTCCTGGCTGCTCCTCTTCCGATCCAGCTCTCTGCTGTGGCCTGGGAAAGCAGTAGAAGATGGCCCAAGTCCTTGGGCCCCTGTACCTACCTGCGTGGAAGACCCAGAAGAAGCTCCTGGCTCCTGGCTTCATATCAGCTCAGCTCTGGCCGTTGTGGTCATTTGGGGAGTGAACCAGCGGATGGAAGACCTCTCTCTCTGGCTCTACCTCTCTCTGTAACTCTTTCAAAAAATAAAGTGATTCTTAAAAAAAGACCAAGCTGGAATATCTCCTGGTTTCTGGCCTGGCCCAGGCCTGGCTGTTGTAGCCATTTGATGAGTGAAGATGGAACATCCATCTCTGTCTCCTTCCAAATAAATATTAAAAAAAAAAAAAAAGCCACTTAGGACACCTGCATCCCATCTCCGAGCGCCAGGTGTCGAGTCCCTCTGTGCCCGCCATCCCGGCCTCCGCCGTCACGTGCCCTGGGAGGCAGCAGTGATGGGTCACGGGCTCGAGTTCTGCCACCCACAAGGGAGACCCAGATGGAGCTGCCTGCTCCCGACTCCGGCCCCTACTGTTGCAGACGTTTAGGGAGTAAGCTAGCAGATGGAAGGTTCTCTCTGCCTTTGAAAATAAAATGAGAGAAAAAGAGAGGGAGAGGGTCCAGCACTGTGGCCTAGCGGGTAGAGCCTCTGCCTGCAGTGCCAGCATTCTGTATGGGTGCCGGTTCGACTCCTGGCTGCTCCACTTCAATCCAGCTCTCTGCCATGGCCTGGGAAAGCAGTGGAGGATGCCCAAGTCCTTGGGTCCCAGCACCTCACGGGGCCTGCTGGAAGCCCAGGACCCTGATGAGCCCTTCTAGACCCCCCTGGGGGGGGGGCTCCTTAACTGTCACCGCTGCCCGGGGGCCCACTCCTCCTGTCACCTCAGCAGATTGAGACCTCACTCCCTCGGACCGCCCAGTGGGCCACGGTAAGGAGAGTGAGTGCTGACTCCCCCCACCTCTGGACCCAGCCCCTCGACCATGGCTGGTGCACCCCCACTGCAGGAAGGGCAGCTTGCTCAGCAGTTTGGGGACCGGATGTCTGGGGCCACTGTGACCCACTTAGCAGCTGGGTCCTAACCGCTCCGGCCCGGTTTGCAAGGAGTGCTGACTTCATGCACGTGAGGAACTGCACCTGTGGCCTTGGCAGCCGCTTCACAGCCCTGGAGGTGGCTCCAGTCCACCTGCCACCGGTCACCCAGAGATGAGGACAGGGGCCACACTGGAGGTGGCAGCCAGGCTGCGGCGTCCCCTCCTCCCCCCCAGCATTGCCGGAGCCCCTGTCCCAGAGCCCGCACTGGGCGCCCCTTTCCCACCTCACTCGGCTCCTCATCGGCAGGGAGCGTCAGTCAAGTTTTTCTGGTTGTGAAAGGAACCCTGGACCCCGCTGGGATGGCCCCCAGCTGAGACACAGCAGGACGCGGTCCCCACCACCCTCCTCGCTCTGACGACCGGGTGCCGCCCCCTGGGGTTGTCCCTGTCCCGCATGCCATGCTGTGGCACTGCCTGGTCCTGGGTGTCCCCTCCATGCCCTGCCCGGACGCCCAGCACTGCTGTAGTTCCTGCGTGCTTACTCATTTCAAAGGTGGAGTGGCAGAAGTAGTTTTACTTATTTGAAAGGCAGAAGTTAGAGATCTTCAGCTACTCGTTCACTCCCCAGGTGGCCCCAAGGGTCCAGGGCTGTGGCCTAGGCCTGGGCCAGACGGAAACCAGGAGCCAGAAGCTTCATCCGCGTCTCCCGTGTGGGTACAAGGGCCCAAGGTCTTGGACCATCTTTCCCAGGCACATTAGCAGGGAGCTGGATGGGAAGTGGAGCAACTGGGGCCCACATAGGATGCCGTAGGCAGCTTTATCCGCTGTGCCACAGGGGCAGCCCCAGACACAGGGATCTTTATCTGCTGGTTCACTCCCCAAATGCCCACAACAGCTGGGGCTGTGCCAGGCCAGAGCCAGGAACTCATCTGCGTCTCCCACATGGGTGGCAGGGATCTGAGCACTCGGGCCGTCACCTGCTCCTCCCAGGTGCGTTAACAGGGCGCTGGATGGGAGGCGGAGGTGGGACTCCATCCCGGGCACTGGTACCAGACGCCACTGCACCACACTGCCCGCCTGTCCTGGGCACACCAGAACCACACTCCTGGACAGGAAGTGCCCCACCCCACCACAGTCCTGATGCACAGCACCCAGGCGAAAAACCTGGCCTTGTCCTTGATGATCCCCTGTCCCCACCCCGCCGTTGTCCTGTTGTTCAAGTCCTCCTCCTCCCACCCTGTTCGCCGTGTGTTAGCCGAGTGACATTTCAGAGGCGCCGGCAGACAGACGGAGGAGTGACATCAGCACACAGAGGCCGCCGTTGGGGCCAGTGCTGTGGCGCAGTGGGTAAGCTGCTCCACTTCCCATCCAGTTCAGGAAGGAACCAGCAGATAAAAGACGTCTGTCTCTCTCTCTCCCTTTCTCTCTGTAACTCTGCCTTTCAAATAAATACATTTAAATAGGAATAATCTTAACCGAAGTACAAAACTCAACACCCTGAAAACTGTAAAACATTAAAAATAAACAGATGGGCAGACACACTGTTCATGGGGCACAGCATTGTTACAGTGTTCCCCAAAGTGGCGGCGCAGGACCTGTGGAAACCCCAGCTGCTCGGGCAGACTTGGGGCCGGTGTGCAGACGGCGCCTGCTGCGACGCCCACATCCCACAGCCGAGCACCCGGGGTTGGTTCCCGGCTCCAGCCCACGGCTGCCACTTCCTGGGAGGCACGGAGATTCATTCCCAACAGCTGGCAGTGGCGCTGGGCCCAGCTCCACTCTGGCTGCTGTAGGCATTTGGGGGGTGAACCAGTAGATAAGGACACAGTCTCTCGCCCGCCCTCCCTCTCAAATACCTCTTAAAATAAAAACCATGTAACAGTTCTAACTGGGTATTTCAGTTAGCATGGTTTCAGAGTTCATCTATGTTGTAATGTGTCAGAATTTCATTCCTTTCAAAAATCTTTTTTTTTTTTTTTTTTTGGACAGGCAGAGTGGACAGTGAGAGAGAGAGACAGAGAGAAAGGTCTTCCTTTGCCGTTGGTTCACCCTCCAATGGCCACTGCGGCCGGCGCACCGCGCTGACCCAAAGCCAGGAGCCAGGTACTTCTCCTGGTCTCCCATGTGGGTGCAGGGCCCAAGCACTTGGGCCATCTTCCACTGCACTCCTGGGCCACAGCAGAGAGCTGGCCTGGAAGAGGGGCAACCGGGACAGAATCCAGCGCCCCGACCGGGACTAGAACCCGGTGTGCCGGCGCCGCAAGGCGGAGGATTAGCCTAGTGAGCTGCGGCGCTGGCCTCAAAAATCTTTTAAAACCTTATTTGAAAGGCAGTCAGTACCACCCATGTGCTGGTTCACGCCCTAAATGGCCGCAGCGGCTGGGGCTGGGCATAGCTGAAGCCAGAAGAGGCGGAAACTCAATCCAGGACTCCCACGTGGGTGGCAGGGACCCAAGTACCAGGGCTGCCACCTGCTGCCTCCCAGGAAGGTGCATTAACAG